CTCATTATGTGGTCCTAATACTCCGTCGTACTTCTGTGTTCTGTGTCTTCTTTATTTAGCCTTTTGATATTTATAGTTCACTTTTTGACAAGTTTAGCTTTAGCTAACCTTTTGCTAAATTTATTTGTTTATATTTACTTTTTCAAACTTTTAAACAGTTAGCTATGCTGTATTTTGCGTCTTTGCTAACCTTTTGCTACTTTTATTTTTATTTATTTATGATTTATTTTTAATTTACTTTGTTAAACATTTAAGCAGTTAGCTTTGCTGTATTTGGCGTCTTTGTAGCTTTTTGCTACATTTAGCATCCATTCTGTTAGATTTATGTATTACCTGTGATTCTTTAGCATTAAGTTAGCTGTTTGCTACTTTTAGCTCCAAGGTTGTGTTTTGCTACATTTAACTTTTGGCTAGTCTTTTGATTCTTTTAGCTACCAGTTTGCTACATTTATTTATTTATTTATTTATTTATTTATATTTACTTTGTTAAACATTTAAGCAGTTAGCTTTGCTGTATTTGGCGTCTTTGTAGCTTTTTGCTACTTTTAGCATCCATTCTGTTAGATTTATGTATTACCTGTGATTCTTTAGCATTAAGCTAGCTGCTTGCTACTTTTAGCTCCAATGTTGTTTTGCTACATTTAGCTTTTAGCTACCAGTTTGCAACATTTAGCTTTAAGCTTTATCTAGCCATTTGATATCTTTAGCTAGCCTTTTGCTAATTTTATTTCTAACTAGCCTTTTTTACATTTAGCTAGTGTTTCTACATTTATCTTTTAGTTAGTCTTTTGCTTCTTTTAGTGTCTATTTTAAATATTGAATGGTATGGTCGATAAGTTTATTATTTATATTATTTTTATTATACTAACATTTAGCTCTTTTTTTAGATTTCAGCTGTTTTTGAATTTTAGTATCACTTAGCTTCAGCATCTTTTAATTTTGTTTTATAAAATCATTTAAAACTCCTCCAGTGGAACAAAGTTGTGCACAATTAAAGGAAAAACAAAGAAAAACAAAAGAAAAAATCCATTAGGATCCTAAAATATAATAAAAGACAGCGAATAAAAGTGGTTTAATATCTCCATTTAGCATCTATTAGCTTTTAGCTGTTGTTCTGTTGCTTTTAGTTTTGTTTTGAACTGTTGGTTTAATTTCCTGTTTCTCAGGGTTGAACTTTATAAACCTGACTCCACTCCCGCCACTTCTTTCCTTTGTCCCTMCACACGTTAAGCCACGCCCCCTCCTCTCGGACTTCCGCCTTGTTGATCCTACCTGTCTGTGGAGGTGAAGCTAGCTGCAGTAKAACCTGATTTTAAGAGGTTACAGGTGAGCAGAACCGTGTTGACAGGTGTTATACCCCGACAGGTGAGTGGATGGGTGGTCCAATCAGATGGCTCGGTTCACCATGACGTCAGGCTGAGCTCTGAGACCCGCAGAACTCCAGCAGTCAGGGACTGAAAGTTATTTATTTATTTATTCTTGCGACACTTCCGCGAAGCTTCGATCCCAGAAACAGGAAGTGGTTCGTTACGTCTCAGAGACGGAAGTGGATCAGAACCGAAAGATCAGACGGTTTGAACAGATGACAAACAGCTGACGGATCAGCTGATCCACCGGATGTAAACAGAGTTCTCCCTGAGTGTTTCTCTCTAACACAGAAAGGTGAAGGCGGTCTGTCGTGGTTTTGCTCGTGTTTGAGTGCCTGTTAGCAAAATATCTCATGAATCAGTGGAAGTTTTGTAACGAAACGTCCTGGATCTTCAGCTGATGTTCGTCTGCAGCTGGGTTAAGATGGCCGCTGCCGCAGCTAAAACTTATCAAACACAAAAACAGCTGTAAGTCAGGTACAGATATAAGATAGAATTTAATCTGGACTCGAACCTGCAACCTCATGGAGATGAGAATGACCACCGAGCTACAGCAGCCCTGTTTTCAAAATATCAAACTTTATTTAAAATAATTTATCATGATTTTTTTTTCATAAAATCACATTGTTCACATGAACATGATTCTGTTTTAGCTTTAGAATCATGTTCAGCTCATTTTAGCTGATGTTCAGCTCATTTTAGCTGCTGTTCAGTTCATTTTAGCTGCTGTTTAGCTCATTTTAGCTGCTGTTCAGTTCATTTTAGCTGCTGTTTAGCTCATTTTAGCTGCTGTTCAGTTCATTTTAGCTGATGTTCAGCTGATTTTAGCTGATCAGTTCATTTTAGCTGCTGTTCAGCTCATTTTAGCTGATGTTCAGCTGATTTTAGCTGATGTTCAGCTGATTTTAGCTGATGTTCAGCTGATTTTAGCTGATGTTCAGCTCTTTTTAGCTGCTGTTTAGCTAATTTTAGATGCAGTTCAGCTGATTTTAGCTGATGTTCAGTTCATTTTAGCTGATGTTCAGCTGTTTTTAGCTGCTGCAGATTTCAGATGAGTCAGTTAATTTTGAACCAACTGGTTTAGTTTGTGTTTCCAGTCGGTGAGGATGAGTGGGAGGAAGGTGCTGAAGGTGGTCCTGAGTGTGGAGCAGGCCGAGGGGCTCGGTGCTCGGGTCCGCAGGAGCATCGGCAGAACTGAAGTAAGAACCTAAAACATGATAAATCCTGCAGTACTTTGGTAGAAATGTATTTGACTGATAATAAAAGTACTCAGTACTGTAACAAAGTAAATGTACTTGATACTTCATGCCTGTGTTTGAACTGGTTTATTTCTCTGGCAGCTCAGGAACTTGGATCCTTTTCTGATGCTGGACGAGTTTAAAGTCAGCAAACCTGCAGGTTTTCCTGATCATCCTCACCGAGGCTTTGAGACGGTGAGAAGAAAGTTCAGATGTTCTTCTGGAACAAGTCTGGATCTGTTCTCTTCAAAACATCTGGTGTCCAAACTTTGTTTTTAGGTTCATCAGAGTCAGGTTTACAGATGTTAAAGCTCCTGCTGCTCTCAGGTCAAACTGGTGTAATCACTGCTTCACCACTAGATGGCGCCAACAGAACACTTTATTGTTTTATTTATTTTTTTATTAAACCACAGCTTCACTTCCGCCTGTTTGGACTCGATATTTGAACATTTAAAAAAATCACACATGAGGACACAGATATGATTCAAATGATTGTTTTTYTTGTGATATTTGCAGCATTAAGTCTAAAAATGAGTAAAACAATAAAAAATGCTCTATTCTGCCTTTTTCAGGAGCATTTTTTGATTTTTTTAAAAATTAAAACTGTTTTAAAACTGTTTAGAAAATAACATTTTATTGAACTCTTGCTGCCTTTGCTCTGTGAAAAGTTAAATAATTAATCCTAATGATTCTGCTGACATGGTGGAGCCGCRTCAGGTTGCCGTCAGATTCCTGGACGTTTCCTCGGGCCTTTGAGCAGACGTAGATCAGGTGTCTTGGTGTGGACRGAGTGGGTGGGGCTTCTGTCCCAGCATGTATCCACCTCAAAATAGGAGCTTTGTATTTATATCTTTATCTATCTTTTTATAGTTTTACATTATTGCGCCTGAATGTTGCTTCAAAACGACCGTCTTTGTGG